TATAAATATCTAACTGACATGACATGCCACCTATCATTAGCAGCAATATTTTCAGTAAAATGCACCCTCGTGCTTGACCTGGCGAGCATAACCGCACGCCCGCAACTTCCCCGCCACACTTGGATCTGAAACATGTTGCATGAACTTGTACTAGTGCTAAAATCCATCATCTGGTAGGATAATTTCTTCCTAAAAAAGTTGATTTTGCTCTCGAGCTTTTCTAGAAGGTTTTTTTTTGTGAAATCTTCGTCGTTAAGAAACAAGCTGGTCCAACTAAAAAAATTGATTCACAACATAGTGTCGGCAAAATAGCTTTACTCGCTATGTTAAGTCATGTCGCTAAGAGTTGACGAGTATGGTGGCAGAGACAGCTAGCCAATGGTAAGAAAATATTAACGTATTAATGATAATAACACCTGTCTCCAATCCGTATAATTATTAAGGACGGTTGCGACAAATGAACGAATACAAAGTCAACTCATACATACGATACTATAGCAACTGCCATAATTAGCTTTTCACATATAGCGTACCCTCACTCACCATGTAAAGTCATGTCGCTAAGAGTTGGTGGACCCAGTTGTCCGGTGGCAAAGACAAAGCTAACTCAATGGTAAAAATATATATTAATATATTAATGATAAATCACACCTTCCTCCAAACAGTGCAATTATCATGAACGATGAGGACAAATGAGCGGACAAATGATACAGTTACCCGGTGGCAGAGACAGCTAAGCAAATGCTAAGAAAATATTAACGTATTAATGAAAATCACACCTGTCTCCAACTGGTATAATTATTATGGACGGTTGCGACAAATGAGCGGATACAAGGCCAACTCATACATACAACACCATAGTCAACGATCATAATTAGTTTTACATACAGCGTACCCTCACTCACCATGTAAAGTCATGTCGCTAAGAGTTGATGGACTCAATTGTCCGGTGGCAAAGACACAACTAAGCCAGTGGTAAAAAAGATATTGATGTATTAACGATAAATCATACCTGTTTACAACCAGTGCAATTATCATGGACGGTGGGGACAAACGAGCGGATAAGGCCAACAAGTCATACATACAACACCATAGTCAATGACCATAATTGGCTTCCATATATACCCACCGTCCAACCTCCCAATATGTACTCCTTCAACAAGAAACAAATAAAATGGTAAGATATAGAAACGTTAGCCAAAACCTCCGAGCAGATAAAAACCACACGGACGGTGCCATCCGCGCGTGCCACTGCGCGTGGGCCACCCGCCATTAACCCACGCGCAAGGGATTTGCGCCGCGTCCTCTTTAAAACCCCTCTTCAACCTCGGGCTTTGCTCGTCCGTCCCATCCATCTCCGTCTCTCGCCCCCTGCTCCTCCTCGCCACCCAACGCCCACTTGTCTTCCCGTAGAGCTAGCAGTTCTCGCGCCTCGGCCATGGAGGACGGCCGGAGTGACGCCAAGGAGGCCAGCATGGTCGAGCTGGCCGCGTCCTTGGAGAAGGTCCGCCAGATCGAGGGCGGCGGCGACGGCGACAATGTCGATGGCAACAAGAAGCTTTGGGGACTCCTCCGGCTGTTCATGGCCTGCATGGTCTCCGGCGGGATCCAGTACGGCTGGGCGCTGCAGCTGTCCCTCCTCTCGCCCTACTCCCAGGTACTGGCTTCCTCTTGCTGAGCTCCTCCCCTTTGTCTCGTACTACTTTTTTTCACCAGTGTTCTTCCTGCGGTGATTGTTTTTCTCTGATATCTCGTGTTCATCTTTGGGTCGCAGACACTTGGGATTCCCCACCAGTACGTTTCCCTGACGTGGATCTGCGGTCCCATCGCTGGATTTGTGGTGAGTTTTCTTGCGATTTCATCCCCATCATCACTAATTTCCTTTTCTTGCCTCCGTTTCCTTTTCAAAGTTGGGTGAAAAAAAGAAAGAGAATTTGTTGTTAAGGCACGGAATCTTGAGAACCTGAAACTACCACGCAAATCTGCTGTATTCACGTAGTAAAAGGGAAATGGATCGATCGTTTTCATGTCTGTCCATTATTCCCGGCCGGCTACCAAACCCGGCCCGATGCACTAAAAAGGAAATAGGGCTAAAAAAGGCATTAATAAATAATTAATTTGCTAATCGGTTCGCCATGGGCAGGTGCAACCCATCGTCGGCTACTACAGCGACCGGTGCACGGCCAGGATGGGCCGGAGGCGGCCCTTCATCCTCGTCGGATGCATCATAATCTGCGTCTCGGTAAGTCACCAAATTAATCATCCCGTTCCTTCTTCAAGTTTTGTCAACCAGTCTTGTGCTGACGCCGTCGATTAATTGTGCTGATTGGCCCAAACCAACCTACAGGTGCTGCTCATCGGCTTCTCTGCGGACATCGGACGCGCGCTCGGGGACACCAAGGAGCACTGCAGCGTGAGCACGGGCCCTCGATGGGCCGCCGCCGCCATCTACATTGTTGGCTTCTGGTTCCTCGACTTCGCCAACAACACCGTCCAGGGGCCGGCTCGTGCCATGATGGCCGATCTTTCCGGTGATGTTTCAACTCAGCTCAGCCTTCCTTCCTTCCTTGTTGATGTTTATTGCTTGTCATATATACTCACTGGAACTCGATCGATTTCGTTGCAGCCGGGAACCATGGCCCCAACGTCGGGCAGGCAGTCTTCTGCCTGTGGATGGCCATTGGCAACGTCCTCGGCTACACGGCCGGTGCCAACGGGAAATGGCACGAGTAAGTTATTTTCTTCTTCTCTCTTCCCGGGCATCATCTACGTAATGCATACCGTGTGGTGTGGACGGACTGACGCCCCGTTGGTTGCAGGTGGTTCCCTTGGCTGAAAACTCACGCGTGCTGCGACGCTTGCGCAAACCTCAAGGGCGCCTTCCTCACCGCTGTGCTCCTCATTATCATCAGCATGACGGTCACCCTGTACCTCGCCGGCGAGAAGCAGCTCGACAAGGCCGACGTCCAGGCCTCGTCCGGCCGCGGCTGCATCTCCGCCTTCGGCGACCTCTTCAAGAGCTTGAAGAACCTTCCCCCTCCCATGTTCAAAGTGCTCGCCGTCACGGCCGTAACCTGGGTACGTGCCGTAGCTGCACTGCACGCCGATCGTCCTCACTTCATGCCATGCACCAGTCGGTCCAACACCAATTGATCTGACTGACATTGTCCTGCCGCTCTGTTTTGTTTCTTCAGCTCGCCTGGTTCCCCTTCTTCCAGTACGACACCGACTGGATGGGCCGGGAGATCTACCACGGCGTGCCGCAGGGGCCCAAGGCGTCCGTCTACGACGCCGGCGTCCGCGAGGGCGCCATCGGCCTGCTCCTCAGCTCCATCACCCTCGGGGCCACCTCCTTCCTCATCCCCAAGCTCTGCCGCAAGCTGACGTCCAAGGTCGTCTGGTCCATCAGCAACTTCATGGTGTTCGGCATCATGACGGCCATGGTTGTCGTCGGCTTGATCTCCACCAAGGGGTACAACGCGGCCCTGACCGCCAACCTCACCGGGCCTGACCCCAAGCTCAAGGCCATCGCGCTCACGCTCTTCGCGCTCATCGGAATCCCGCAGGCCGTGAGTCCACGCGCACCATGGCTCCTGCTGCTCATCTGCTTGATCTGATTTAATTTGCATGCCCACTGACTCTTCTTTTTCAAAATTCTGTTCGTGCAGGTACTGTTCAGTGTGCCCTGGGCTGTTGCTTCTGAAGTCGTTGCCGCGGAGGAGGATGATGGCCAAGGCCAAGGCCTCGCCATTGGTGTCCTCAACATTGCCATCGTCGTGCCACAGGTTTTCAGTCTATTGGCATGGCAACTCGTCAGGCTGTTTGTTAATTGGGGCCTGACTTTTAACCTGTTTCTTTCCATTGCCCTTTATATGCAGCTGATCATCGCGCTCACCGCCGGCCCGCTGGACAAAGCCTTCGGGAAGGACAACACGCCGGCGTTCGGCGTGGGCGGCGCCTTCGCGTTCATCTGCGCCATCCTGTCGCTCATCCTGCTGCCCAAAACAAGGGGCAATTCCAACGCCGCCGTCATGGGCGGAGGGCACTGATATGGCGATAAATCTTGAGAGCGGAGGGCCGCTGCAAACTAGTTGTTCTCTAGCTAGCTGATGTTGATATATATGTGTGCTGAGGACATTTTTCTGTTTTCATTTCCACCGCCGTTTGTTCACTCGTTCCCTGGTCGCAATGTTTTAGCTGTTCTGGGAACCTCTTGAAAAAATTCAAGTGATGTGAACATTGGTAATCTGTACCGATTTAATATATTAATTGCGCGTCATGGAGAGTAATCTCCGGACATTATTATATTTTGTTTCCTCTTCCAACTTGCCCCAGCTAATACCAGATAAATAATTAGAGAGAAAGCGAGGGAAAAGAAAGAACAAAACCACCTTCCTCTTTGACTCCAAGAAAAATTCTCAAAAAGAGTTGACTGCAAGAAAAAGTCTTCTCTCTTTTTTGGGACCGTCTACCCCATGTGCCTGAAAATAAATTTGCTTCAGTCACTGCTACTCCCAGCCGCTTCATTGTTCATCTTCTTCCCTAATCATGCAGCCCCCCTTTGACCCAACCCTAACCGCCTGCCTCGCCGCCCCGCCCTCCCCTCAGTCTCCCTTCATCGTCATTGCTGGCCGCTGCCTCGATCATTCCTCTAAGCCCCGCCGCACCAGTGAAGAACTCCGGCGATCCTCTCGAACGGCCGTTGGCCGAATTTTATTAGAAAGAAGGGAAGAGTACAAAGGTCAGACAGGCTAGGCGGTCTAGCACTGAAAAGACCTCTCGAGGACGCCACACCAAGGATACAACGCCCCATCATCCGCGTCAAGCCGCACTACAAGAGGCATTTACATAGCAAGGTCAACAACTTCGGCGATCCTCTGCACCCCCATCTCTAAAGATAGAGAGAGAAGTGCATATTACACCCCTCAACTCTAGCCCTAGTCTAATATACACCTCCCAACTCCAATACCGTTTAGTTTACACCCCCCCCCCCAACTCTCAAAACCAGCTATAATTCAACCCTCCCCTCCCTGTTGACCGGTTTTGACCAGTTGACTGGGTGAACAGTAAACTCAAAAGGTATAAAAATTGAAAAATCGTTTTTTTCACCGGATGAACAGTAAATTCAAAAAGTAAACAAAATAAAAAAAGTACAAATTGATTTTTTGTCTGGTGAACAGTAGATTCAGAAAAAAAATTCTGAATTATTTTTGCATGGACGATGTTTGAGTGTGTGATGAACGTTCCAATTTCCAGCTTGTTCGGACATTGGAGTGGCTCTTAGCAAAAAAGAAAAAATGTGACGTATGTGAAACAGTTAACAGTACGTGTACTGTTCGGGCCAAATTCTTTTTTTTTTGAGAGACCACTCAAGTGTCCAAACAAGCTGAAAATCGGCGCGAACATCACGCACTGAAAATCGTCCATGCAAAAATAGTTCTGATTTTTTTGAATTTACTATTCACCCGGTAAAAATTAAAACTGTTTGTTGAATTTACTTTTCACCCGTTGAAAAAACAAAAATAATTTTTGATTTTTTAGTTACTGTTCAGCAAGTCAATAGGTCAAAACTGATCAACTAGGTCAAAACCGGTCAACGGGAAGGCGAGGGTTGAATTCTGGCCGGTTTTGAGAGTTGGGGGTGTAAACTAGACGGTATTGAAGTTGTGGGGTGTATATTAGACAAGGACTAGAGTTAAGGGATGGAATATGCACTTCTCTCAAAGATAAATAATGGGGCAATTGCTTGATAGTGGGGTTGCCTCTTCTCCGCGGGATGAACTAGAAAAAGTGACTGTCGCGAAGAAAATTTTCAGGCACACTGAACACACCTAATTAGCTCCATCTTTTTTTGCACACTGAACACACCTCATTTTTCCTAAATCTGTTTATATAACATCACCTATGTCTACACAAAAGTAGTCTGGACGAATCAACCAAAGAGACAGCATACTTTTTTTTTGCGGGGTAAAAGAGACAGCATACTTATGAGCTCAGCGTCCGTGTCATCTTTCAAAGAGGCAGGCACCAGACTAAGACATCGGCAGCATATGCTTCCCCTTCAACAAGCACAACAAAGGCAATGTGACCTGCCAAAGCTAGACGGTTAGGTTTCCCTTCTAAGAGCAACTTTACCAGACCCCGCAAAAATTCGACCCGCAAATCTTGTTTGCGATTTCACGAACATCTCGTTTGCGGGTCGAAAACATGCGCCGCAGATCAGATACCGCATCTAAACCTGCATAATTTGAAAAAAAACGCTTTCGCGGGAGAAATTGCACACACATAGTTCATCACATCACATACTACATAATTCATACACACATAGATCATACTAAATGCTACGTTAACTAGTAGTAGAGGTGGTCGGATCTGACGACGGCGAGGTCGCGGCAAAATGGACGATGCCGTGGAGGCCGAGCGACGCTCAATCCTCCTCGCCGGAGCTGGCAAGGTCGATATACTTCGCCGCCTGCTCCGCCCGGATGTGGCGCCACTCCTCTGCCTTGTCGTTGGCGGCGACGTTGGCGGCGATCGCCTGCTGCCACTGGAGGGCTTCAAGCTCCTCGGCGTGGCGAAGGCGCTCCGCCTCCTCGTGCACGCTTCGCTCGGCGATGGCGGCGGCGACGGCGTCGACGTCCGCGACGTAGTCCTCGGGCCCGACGACTCCGCGGCGGCCGAGCGGAGCGGGCTCCTCAGACTCCTCCTTCACCGGGACGAAGGCGAACGGCGCTGGCGGCTCCTCCTCCTCCTCCTCCTCGTCCGACCACTCCCTCTTCACGGGGAGGAAGCCCGCGCTGGAGGATGAGGAGGATCCAGCGTAGGAAGATCTAGCGGAGGAGAAAGACACGCTACGGCGGTCGTACCCCTCCGTCTCGCGGCGGCTGAAGCTCGGCGGCGGCGACATCCCGCGGTTGGTCCACCTCTGGGCGCCGCGCTTCCTCGCACCGTCCGCCCGAACGCACTGCTCGCGCTCCGGGTCGCGCTCACGGCCAGATCTGCTGCCGGAGTCGCGTCCGAAGCTCCACATTCAGCTCCACATGGCGGCTGGAGGCGGGGCGGGTGGTCACCGGCGGCGAGAAAATGCGGAGGAGGGGAGGGGAATCGGGTGGCTCGCGGCGGCGGAGGGATAGGGTTTGGACCCGTGAAAGGGTCGCGGAACCGCAGTTATACTGCTCGGTGCGTACGGTTTGCGGGCTGCGGCAAAAGTTTTTGCGGGCCGGACGAGTATGCGGGCTCTGGTCTGACCGAAAAATTGGGCCTAGCCTACATACTTGTTGGAATTTTTGTGGGCCGGACGTTTTGCGGGGTCTGCTAAAGTTGCTCTAAACGGAGACATGCAAGATGGAGCCGGAACTCTGAAGCCCTGTTCTGCTCGGGCCTATATAAAGACCAAGGACCAGGACGATGGAGCACATCTCACACAGCCATACTACTACTACCACACACCGACACACGAGACCACGGAGATGAGAGAGCCAAAAGTGCTACCACGACTACGTCGATGGCTCCCAAGATGATCGGCGTGACCATCTTGCTGGTGCTCCTGGCGCTGGCCCCGAGTGACGGCCAGGTGATGCCAATCCCCTGCCGCCGCCTCAACTGTTGTGATGGCAGACCCGAGTGCTGCTCCCCTGGCCTCGTCGCCGCCGTGGCGCCCATCGTACAGGCCGCCCCAAACGTAGCAGGGCCGGCCGCCGCCGGTGCCGCGTCTCGCAATGTCTTCCCCTGAAACTAGCGGTCGAGGTGTACAGTATGCTCCGGCCAAGCGAAGCTCTACCTGCCCTGGCCAGCTACCTAAGTTCAGTGATTAAATCTGTATGTGTTGAAAGCCAGCTACCTAAGTTTACTACTGTTAATAACCTATGTATGTATGATCGAGTTCCCATGGGATTGTAATTCAGTTTTTTTTGTTGCGAAGCAATTATAATTCAGTTCTAATGATAATGAATATCTGCTTACTTTTTGTCGATGTAATCATAGGGCTTTTGCACATCATCAACTAAATTAACTAGCTATTTGCCCGTGCATTGCAACAGGGGCATAAATATTCTAGTGGTTCAACATCAATCATGTCTAACGTATATCTTACACATCATATTCTAGATTTTGATAAGATTTAATTCGATTTGAGTACGGTAGGGGAAAGAAAGGAAAATTTTAATTTTGTTGAGGTTTTGTTACATTTGATTTGATTTGGGCACGCGTAGGTAAAACTAGGAAAGTTTGATTGAGTTGAGATTTTGGTAACAATTGATTTTATTCGATTTGATTGAGTTAATGCATGACATGGATTTGGAAAGTATCAATTTTGTTTTGATTATTTTAAGTTACTTTATTTACGTTGGTTTTTATTTTGTTCGGCATTTGTTGAGATTACCAGAAACCCAAAAGAAAACCAAAGTGAAAGAGGAGGTGTGGGGAGGCGAAAACCGAGGGAGGAGGTGAAGACGACGCTACCAACTCCTCTTTAACGGTAGAGATTAATTCTCTACTATTAAACTGGGGTCATGGTAGTGATGGTCGGTCTGGTTGTCGTTTCGTTTGTTCCTTCGCCTCACTCATTTCGTTCCACCTATATTCGCGTCTGAAAAAAGAAAACGTCTCGCAGGGGTCGGGATGGGATGGAGAGAGGATGGTGAGAGGGTTTCGGATCTACTCTCTGTTGTGGAGGAGGTGGCCGGAGAAGGGAGATCAGGCAGCGGCGACGGTGCTCCCTACCGGTGCGGGAGCCACTCATACCGACTTTAAATGAAGATTTGATGTAAAAAGTTTTTGTGCAGTATCGATGCTGGGTTGTTGAAGCCTGAAGACACAAGTCATGGTCGAGATGGCTACAACTTTGATCGGAATCGGCCGAGGGGTATAATGTGCTTTGTGGCTTGCTCTTATCCGTTTATTTATCTAAACCTTGACAGGTTGAACTTGCCCATGGCTGTGTTCTTTTTCTAAAGAAATAGTGATATCAACTTTATCCCAACAGAAATTTCTACCCTTAACGTTGCATCTTATAGTAATTCTTTTGGGTTGTAAATCACATAAATTCACA